GGGCTTTTTACCCTTTGCTTGGGCTTTCATCATGGATTCTCAACTGGGCTTCGCTCTTTGGGCAATTTAATATGGGCTGCACTTTTAGTGTATCAACAATATCAAATAACAAGTTGTTATGTATCTGTCACATATGACGACTATATGTAGTTTTCACTATAAATAACATTATTCATTATGAAATTGTTTCAGTATCCTTTCCTTTCCATTAACTAAAAAAAAAATTATAATTTCAGTACATTACTCATTATGAAATTGTGTCAGTATCCTTTCCTTTCCGTTAACTAAAAAAAAAATTATAATTTCGCGACTGATGATTGAGGTAGAAAATTATGAAATCATGTCTGTATCCTTTCCATTAACTAAAAAAGAAAGAAACAAATAATAATTTATTGACTGATGGTTGAGGTAACTAACTCAAAAAGTTCTTTCACTTTCGCTTTTATTTTTTGTACATGATACAAAATTATTTTTTTTTTCACATTTATATGTTGTATTATATATGTATTAAACTTAAATAGAAATTCTTGCACTTAAAGTAAAAAACTTTTATATGGAGTAAATTTCTTTTGTCCAAGTAAAGTATTGGGCCAAAAATGTGAGTCCAATTTGAATGAAGTGATACTTTGCCTCTCCATATTCAGCTGCAGAATATTGTTTAGGGGTAATTGAATAGGTCGCTAGAAGTGTCAAATGGGGCGAGCCGTTTGTCGATTCGACTAGTCTCACCATTGAGCCGAATAGCAAATTTCTCGTACAAGCTTGTCAGTTCGCGTGCAAATCAGCTTAATGATTGAAAAATGGAATTTCAAAAGATAAAAAGTATTGGCATGCCACAAGGTCGAGTCGACATGATTTATTTGTTCCCCCTTTTATATTTTATAATCCAAAAACGTGATCTCAAGACTTCCCCCACAACAAGTGGTAAAATAAAAGGCTTATTGGCACAAAACGTCTATACGTTTGACAGTTATTGTGCAAAACATCCTTACGTTTCTTTTTTTGCATTTTCGCCCTTATT